CGCTCCTGTAGGAGTAATTGGTCTAACTATAAACATGTCACCTCTTGTAAGCATAGTCTCCTTGGTCTGCTGTGTTATAACCTATTATTTAAGGCCCCCATCTACATTAGATTTTTCAACTATTAGTACTTTCTTTGAGAAATGAGTTTAAACTGAAAATTCAGTGTGGACGGAGTCAAAAGAACTGCCGTCATCACCTTGCCAGGATTTTTTGTCTGGGATACTGCATGTTATTCAGGATTGCCAGAGCTGATGCTGGAGTGGATCCAATTTATACTAGGCCCATATTCTATTCCTTAACCTGTTGGATCTGTACCAAAACCAATACAGGAACTCCTACAGTTAGAAAAAGCTCTGCCTTTTAACTGACTAACAAGAGATTTCCTGATTTTATTAATGTAATGTAATGAATCAGGAGGAAGAGTTAAGTTTTGAAGATCTTCAAAGTTGTCTGTGTATTTTTATGCTATGTCTTTGGTGTCACATACAACGTACTGTACTACAGTGAGTAAAGAAGATAAGCAATAGAGTACAGGACTGCTCCATCCATGTACCTGTTCATCCCATAATCCTCAGTGAGACTTAAGAGATCCCCCAGAGCCCGCACTCCAGAGCCTGTCTTCCTGGTTCCTTAGTCTCTCTGTGTTGAGCTGAGCTGGTCAGAGCAGGAAGTAGGTTGACAGTTTCAGAAAATGGCAGTAGCTGGTGAGTCTGAGTAGTTCCATCAGCTAAGCTTTGCATAGTTCAATCAGTTCTTCTAACTAAACGCAATAAAATTACAAAAGTGGCTTATGTCTGCGATGGTATCACAATGTGCATATGAAGTATGGAGTTTGCGGGACTGAGTTTTAGACAGAGAAGTCCACAGGTATGTGAGGAAACTGGCACATTTTCAAAAAGGAAGCCTTTTAAAATGTTTCCTTTGCAATAGCCAGTAAATATTTTAATCAAAAAAGTTGCAAAGAAAATGAGACTGACCCATGAAAAGTTATTGTGCCACATTTGGAGATTGAATTTAGTCATTAGAACGAGAGAGACAGCGGGATGTTAGGTTTCAAAGTAGCAGCCGTGTTAGTCTGTATCCGCAAAAAGAACAGGAATACTGGTGACACCTTAGGCTAGGTCTACACTACAGGGGGGGCGGGGAGGGTTCGACCTAAGATACGCAACTTCAGCTATGTGAATAGCGTAGCTGAAGTTGCGTATTTTAGGTCAACTTAACTGGCTGTGAGGACGGTGGCGAGTCGACCGCTGCTGCGCCGTCATCAACTCCGCTTCTGCCTCTTGCCGCGGTGGATTTCCGGAGTCGACGGAAGAACCATCGGGGATCTATTTTATCGCATCTTTACTAGATGTGATAAGTCGATCCCCAATAGATCGATTGTTACCCGCCGATACGGCAGGTAGTGAAGACATGCCCTTAGAGACTAACAAATTTATTTGAGCATAAGCTTTCGTGGGCTACATCCCACTTCATCGGATGCATAGAATGGAACATATAGTGAGGAGGTATATATACATACAGAGAACATGAAAAGGTGGGAGTTACCCAACCAACTCTAAGAGGCTAATTAATTAAGATGAACTGTTGTCAGCAGGAGAAAAAAAACTTTTGTAGTGATAATCAAAATAGACCATTTAAGACAGTTTGACAAGAAGCTGTGAGGATACTTAACATGGGGGAAATAGATTCAATGTTTGTAATGGCTCAGCCATTCCCAGTCTCTATTTAAGCCTAAGTTGATAGTATCTAGTTTGCATATCAATTCAAGTTCAGCAGATTCTCGTGGGAATCTGTTTTTGAAGCTTTTCTGTTGCAAAATTGCCACCTTTAAATCTGTTACTGAATGGCCAGAGAGGTTGAAGTGTTCTCCTACTGGTTTTTGAATGTTATGATTCCTGATATCAGATTTGTGTCCATTTATTCTTTTGCGTAGAGACTGTCCGGTTTGGCCAATGTACATGGCAGAGGGGCATTGCTGGCACATGATGGCATATATCACATTGGTAGATGTGCAGGTGAATGAGCCCCTGATGGTGTGGCTGATGTGATTAGGTCCTATGATGGTGTCACTTGAATAGATATGTGGACAGAGTTGGCATCGGGCTTTGTTGCAAGGATAGGTTCCTGGGTTAGTGTTTTTGTTGTGTGGTGTGTGGTTGCTGGTGAGTATTTGCTTCAGGTTTGGGGGGCTGTCTGTAAGTGAGGACAGGTCTGTCTCCCAAGATCTGTGAGAGTGAGGGATCATCTTTCAGGATAGGTTGTAGATCTTTGATGATGCGCTGGAGAGGTTTTAGTTGGGGGCTGAAGGTAACGGCTAGTGGCGTTCTGTTATTTTCTTTGTTGGGCCTGTCTTGTAGTAGGTGACTTCTGGGTACTCTTCTGGCTCTGTCAATCTGTTTTTTCACTTCAGCAGGTGGGTATTGTAGTTTTAAGAATGCTTAATAGAGATCTTGTAGGTGTTTGTCTCTGTCTGAGGGATTGGAGCAAATGCGGTTGTATCTTAGAGCTTGGCTGTAGACAATGGATCGTGTGGTGTGTCCTGGATGGAAGCTGGAGGCATGTAGGTAAGTATAGCGGTCAGTAGGTTTCCGGTATAAGATAGTGTTTATGTGACCATCGCTTATTAGCACAGTAGTATCAAGGAAATGGACCGCTTGTGTGGATTGGTCTAGGCTGAGGTTGATGGTGGTATGGAAATTGTTGAAATCATGGTGGAATTCCTCAAGGGCTTCTTTTCCATGGGTCCAGATCATAAAGATGTCATCAATGTAGCGCAAGTAGAATAGGAGTGTTAGGGGACGAGAACTAAGGAAGCGTTGTTCTAAGTCAGCCATAAAAATGTTGGCATACTGTGGGACCATGCGAGCACCCATAGCAGTGCCACTGACTTGAAAGTATATATTGTCCCCAAATGTGAAATAGTTGTGGGTGAGGACAAAGTCGCAAAGTTCAGCCACCAGGTTAGCCGTGACATTATCGGGGATACTGTTCCTGACTGCTTGTAGTCCATCTTTGTGTGGAATGTTGGTGTAGAGGGCTTCTACATCTAGAGTGGCCAGGATGGTGTTTTCTGGAAGATCGCAGATGGACTGTAGTTTCCTCAGGAAGTCAGTGGTGTCTCGAAGATATCTGGGAGTGCTGGTAGCGTAGGGCCTGAGGAGAGAGTCCACATAGCCAGATAATCCTGCTGTTAGGGTGCCAATGCCTGAGATGATGGGGCATCCAGGATTTCCAGGTTTATGGATCTTGGGTAGCAAATAGAATACCCCTGGTCGGGGTTCTAGGCATGTGTCTGTACGGATCTGTTCCTGTGCTCTTTCAGGGAGTTTCTTGAGCAGATGGTGTAGTTTCTTTTGGTAATCTTCAGTGGGATCAGAGGATAATGGCCTGTAGAATGTGGTGTTAGAGAGCTGCCTAGCGGCCTCTTGTTCATATTCCAGCTTATTCATGACGACGACAGCACCTCCTTTGTCAGCCTTTTTTGATTATGATGTCAGAGTTGTTCCTGAGGCTGCTGATGGCGTTGTGTACAGCACGGCTGAGGTTATGGGGCAAGTGGGATGTTAGTTTTTATGTGAAAATCTGAATGGAACCTCTGCTGACACTTTGATAATACACACAGGTTCACACGTGCACATAATGCAAATATAACTTAAACATGAATTCAGACTGTACGCCCCAAACTTTTGGAGACAGAATCATAATCCAGACTTTGTGGCTCAAGCCCATCTGCAATATAAATATCATAAAGCAGAAAAAATAGGGCATACGCTCACTTTTCCAGAAATACAGTCCTACCTTGAATTTCTGAACTGGTGAGACTATTTCTTAAATGAACAGTGAGTCACTGTGTTTTACAAGCCTGGGTTCATTCACTATATGTCAGGTGTTGCAAGAGCATGAGAATACACATCAAATTTAAACAGGCTAAACAGCTTCACAGTAGCATCTCTATTCAGTAGTAGGAAGCGGTGGAAGGAACAACTTGAGTTTAGTCTTCCCAGGATGGCTAAGATAATGGGATCTTCAGCGTAAGTACCTTCCCCACCACCACTCTGTGTTCCCAGTAGGAGGATCAAAAGAATGCTACATTGCAACACTCACAAATGATTATAAAATGTTAATTTGTAAGAGAGAATGTTACCAAGCCATTAAGCCATAGGAAGGTTCCTTTCTTATGCATTTGATTTCCTCATGGGCATGCCTCTGGATTTCTCAGGACTAAGAGCCAATACAAACTACACTGATAATTGGACCACTTATTGTGATGGGGCTAATAGCATATGTCTTTTTGAGGGAAGGATTCACCTGAATAGTGGATGACCACTTTTTCTGATTGTTGATAAGATTTAAGTAAAATTCTTACTTCTCAGCACCAGGGCAATGCTCAATGTGCTGCAAAAAGGGAAACTTAAAATGATCCTGGATCCGCATATTCAACAATAGTAATTTTTTGAGGCGTCACCTATGAGTTTACCTCCTCATACTAGCAGCTTTTTTCCTTCACTTCTAACCTCTTATCTCTCTACTGATGGCAACTGCTCCTGGGCACCATTTGTTCAGTGTCTGGAAAGGAGGACTCCTGGCCCCTTTTTGTGCTCCCTTTCATTTGCACTACCACCAGTGGAGATTTCCCCAAAAGAGCTAGTGGAGACACAACCTAGAGCCTTCATCATGATCGCAATTACCCATTTTCCCTGCAAGTATAGTTGTAGGAGCTAGAGCAGGTCAAGAATGTTTGTCAGAATGACTTTCCCATTGTTTCTGCAAAATCCACAGGAAAACTTAAATTTTGCCAAAAAGTTTTGATTTTGATGTTGGGAAAATCTAAATTAAGTATTCCATTTTGGGGTGGTTTGACCTGATTCGGAATATCATTTTGTTGAACTAACCTGAAACGTGTAGTTTCAAGTCAGTTCAACATTAAATTGTATTTCCCTGTGATGTCACATTCCCTCATGGGAATTATAATTCTGGCCTCCATTCTTTCCTACAGACTGGGCTCCCTGGAGAACTGCATCTTCCTAGATGCAATGCCAACACTCTTCTGATCAACCTGCACAGTGCATCATGGGATACTCGTGGCTGCAGATGCATCATGGGAGATATAGTAGGGCCAGGGGGCTCAGCCCACAGGTGAGAATGTGGGCATCAGACTCCCAAACTACAACTCTCAAGAGGTAATGCACCACATTACAGTAATGCAGTTTAATGTTGAACCAACTCCCAATTTGGGACAAAAACAAATGTTGAAATATTGGAATTTCCCACAGGATGGAAATTCTGAATTTCACTTAGCTCGAGGAGCAGCAATGTTGCTAGCTCTCCTATATTTCAAATTTTGAGAGCAGGACTCCTGAAGATGTTCCCAAGCTCAAGTCTCCTACTCCTACATGATGTGGCAGAGCATGACTGCCGTGAATCCAGGCTGACCATAAGCATATAACTTGATACCAGCAAATATAATGAATTTAACAGATAGAGTAATAATATATTAGTAGCAGATTTGTCACAGGCCTTTCTCAAAAGGACAGACATCAAGTTCTCTGCAGGTCTGATCACAACAACAACAGGTTCTGACACGCTACACGCTTTATCAACAACAAAACCACACCACACCACCTTGCATTAACCCCCATTCATTAACTCCAATAATAGGTGCAGTTTGACTTGCATATTTATGGTTATGGTAGGAAAATAAAGACGATACATTTTTTTTTAACTAGATAGGAAATTAATTCATTTCTCTGAGCCCTTTTTCATGTATGTGGGTGATATTGTTGTCATCATCGATTGTTAGCTGGGTAACCTGGTATAAACATCTCTCATTTGCCCAAATTAATTCCTGGGGTACCATGGACTTCAGCAGAGTTAATCCAGGAATAAATATGAATTCCCTTTACTACAAAGCTGCAGAGTCAGGCTTTGCCTAAGACTGCAAATGCTCCCTATATACTACCATCTACCTTCTCTGTGGAATTACACAGTGATGATAGAAGCTGGTATGCTAGTTGCATGCTGACAGCACATTGCCCAACTTTTTGCAGTTGGGTATAAGTGAAAAATATTTGTTTTTTTATTAACTATTAGGATACATATGTTTTTAATTTCTTAATGTAGAGCCTAGATACTACAGTAATACAAATTTTAAATTGGTAAGAGATATGTGGGGCCAAATTCATAGCCATATCTGTTTTTCTGTGGGGAATTGTAACAAGCATTTGACATCTCAGTGCAGTAACTACCTGCCTCCAAATACTGTACAAATAGAAAATGGGAAATACAGGATTGTGACTGTTACAATTTAAAGCAAATAAATAGATTTATTTTTTATTTCTCAAGTGAAAGATATCCATTATCTCTTTAAGGAAACTCCAAACCATTTGGTCCTAAAAACCAGAAACTTTCATTGCTAATGTCATAGCTATCAATTTGTTACAGTAAGTTTCTTCTTCCACCCTTTCTGAAAGTCAGACATTAAAACTGTTTGTTCTGTCAATCCAGTTTTGCACAACACCGGATAGCAAGATATGTATTATGTTTCCTAGCCCCCCGCCCCAAGGTTTGGTGTCTGCAGCTGAGAAGCAAAAAACATTGCATACCAGCCCAAGACAATTATGGTGCAATCCAAACTAGACAGAGCAGAAAAGTAAGCTGCTCGAGGGACATCTGTTACATGCACTGTATGGTAACAAATCTAAACCTCTGAATTATGGCACAGTATTTTGTCCAACATCTCTTCACTCTGAGAATATATCATTCTTCTTTTATTGTAAGAAGTGTTAATTTGTGAGCCATATGTCTATGGCAGGATTTAAATCAGCAACCAACACAATACAGTAGAACCTCAGAGTTATGAATACCAGAGTTACTAACTGACTGGTCAACCACACACCTCATTTGGAACCAGAAGTACGCAATCAGGCAACAGCAGAGACACCCTTCCCCTCCCCCCCGGGCAAAAAAAAAAAAAGTAAATACAGTACAGTACTGTGTTAAATGTAAATTACTAAAAAAAATAAAGGGAAAGTTTAAAAGAAAGATTTGACAAGGTAAGGAAACTTTCTGTGCTTGTTTCATATTAATTAAGATGGTTAAAAGCAGCATTTTTCTTCTGCATAGTAAAGTTTCAAAGCAAAGTCAAGGGTCAGTTGTAAACTTTTGAAAGAACAAACATAATGTTTTGTTCAGAGTTATGGAACATTTCAGAGTTACAAACAAACTCCATCCCCGAGGTGTTCATAACTCTGAGGTTCTACTGTATACATGAACTAAAGAAAATTTAAACAGAGTATCAGGAAAAATGACTTTCCATTGAGAGCTGTTAAATTGGAATAATCACCCAAGGGAAGTGGAGGAAGTGCCATCACTTGAGTAATTTAAAACTAGACTGGACAAAGGCTGAAAATATTCTATAAGGAATAATCTGCATTGTCACGCAGTGGCCAGGATGATTTTATAGGTCTTTTCCATCTCTTATTTCAATAATTTTATGCTATCTTACTAAAACATTAGTGGTGCTTCTGGCGGGGGGTACCTGAGGCAATGCTGCATTCAGAACATGGAGAATATGAAATCAAAATAAAGTAAAATTTACCTTAATTTCAGTTGTATGGAGCACTCTCAGCTGTCAGTGAGCAGCCAAGCACTTTAATCTTCCAGATAATGTATCCATGCAAGGGCAAGCTGCTCTTATGCCCCAGCCTGTACATTGCACAAAGGAACACCAAAGCAACAACATCTGCAGAACTTCAGGGAGGGTATTCATGCGTTGTTGAACACAGAGGACTGACAGACACTTTCAAATGTGTTATTCTACTCTGAAAAGTGATTTTGTACAAATGGCATTGTTGAACTCTGTGTCTTAATGACTTCCAGATCAAATCTACTCAAATGACAAGTAAAACGTTTTTTTTTGCTAACGCTAGTCCTGCCAACTCAACCTGGAATCTTGAAATCAAATTGGGATTTTTCTTGTTTACATGTCATCAGCAATAAAGGTTCTGCAGTCGCAATTTAGCTAACAATTCTACTGACAGTGGATGAGGCAGAAGAGAATCTAGTTCTGTTTCCCAGCTGTATTAGCTGTGCAGTGTTCATAGTAGTCAGCATTTTGGTCAGTAAAATAAGCCAATATGACTCCAAATACAGACAAGGAATCATGTCTATCGAGTTACAAGGTGCTCTTTTTACATAGTTACTTTCCACAGTAGAAGTACACTTTCAAGAAGGAACAGATAAACAGCTGAGGAAGATTGAAGTGCATTATCTAAACTTATAATTTAGAACAGCTGCAGTGAGCAAGGTTCGGAAGCTGCTCAGGTTTAGTACATTGAGTTTTAAAAACGGAGACCTAGGTTCAACTTCAGAATTGGGTCACATGTGAAAAGGAGTTTATCTCTGCTCTCTTCTTGAAATTACCACACCATTTTGGTATAGGTGTCCATCTGTGTTCAAGAGAAGCCCAAAACTTCCATCCAGGCCAAAATTTGGCCCCAATATCGTAGGATGCTGCAGGCCAGGTCTGAAAAGTTCACTAGCTGAGCTGTGTGAGGAATTTTACACTGTGTTTGGCATTATATCTGGTACAAGATTATTCATCTATAACTTTCGTAATCATTAATTCAAGATTCTTGTAGAATATGTAATCCGCCAGGGCTTGTCAGTCAGCCTTCCTGATTCAGTGAATGTTGGTAGTGTATGTTGTTTGAAATATTTCTGAATTATTATTATTTGTATTGTGATAGTGCTTAAGCACCTCAGTCATGGCCCCAGCCCCATTGTGCTAAGTGCGGTGCAAACACAGAACAGAAAGGTAACCTCTGCTCCAAAAAGTTTACAATCAAAGTAATCTTGGTAATAATATTTTGTAGCTCTGTGTAACCTTAATGAGAGGATCTCAAAGTACCTAATTAAAATTGCAAATATTAATTAAGCCTTGTAACAATCATTTTGCAGATGGGGAAACCGTGGAACAGAGAGAGTAAGTGGTTTACCAGCGTTCACAAAGCAAGTTTACAGAAGAGCTGACACTAGAACTTAAACCTCCGGACCGCTCATTCTATGCTTAGCACTAAAGTGGTAATATTTTATTTATATTTTCCTGTGAAATCTAGATTGAAGGTACAGTGCCGTGTAAAATGGAATATATTACCTGAAATGAGCATAGGGAAATTTCCTTTTATCATGTTTTAAGGAAAGTATAGAGTGAAATGGCATTTTGAAACTTGGATGCCTAAAATTAGACACTTAAATCCATATTTAGGCACTTAAACAAATGTGGCCTGATTCTCAGTTGAGGCTGAGCCCCCACCATTTTTTGGAGTCAGCTGGAGCTGCTGGTGTTCAGTATCTGTGAAAATTAGGTCACTACTAGTTAATGGTTTACATTACAAGCCTATCCTTAGGCACCCAAGTTAGGTGTTGTTTTCAATCAGATGTATGGGTATGGGATTCAGGACTTTTGTAAATTACTTGATAGGCTAATAGACATTTAGATGTAAAGATGAGGATTCAAAATACTATGGCAACTTCCTGGTAGAGGCATCTCAAGTGAAATGTGTCTGAAACCTGTAGTAAAGGCCCCAGTGACCTTTTGTTCACATGCTAAAGCTGCTACCCAAATGTCTCTGTTTAAGAGAACCCAACATTAAATAGCTGTTTTCCAATTGACACGGTTGAATGATAGTGTTCATCTTGTCTGAGACCTAAAGTATCCTAGAGGAAGGTAGAAGCAGTGTTACTCTTTTAAGTGTTGTCAAACTAGAAAGAATGATTGTTCCTAAGTTTTGCATGTGCCAGCATAATAGAACATAGCCATGCAAATTCCTATTACTTAGCAGTTCCCTAGTACAGAAAAATAGAGTGTTATCATATTTTATTTGTGTTTGCAATTAAAAGCATCCCTTTCACTATGGTTTTTAAGAACAGATGTCAGGACAATGTTGAAAACATAAATGAGTGCCAAAAAATATTTTTCTGGTTTAAAAAGAAGTGGAGGGTGGGGGAAGAGAGGGGAGAAACCCTAAGATGTTGAGTCTTTTGGTTTGAATTTCCATAAAAATACATAATTGTTTATGTGCTTCCCCCAATTACTACTGGGAAAAATAAAATAATTATTAACTAATGTATTTTTTATAGTCGTGCTAAGTGCAAAAATATATTACACAGACTTTCAAAGCCTCTAGAATTTTTTAGAACTTTGTGACACTGTATTACATTCTAATTTATTGAATAAATGCACTAGGGTGGAACATTAATTTACACATATAGTTCAAAGACACATATAAGACTGATGTTGAGAGAAGTCAGCTGTCAGTAATGTCAGCACTGTGAAAAAGGGGGGGAAGAGGAATGTGCATATAGCAGTCATGTTCCTTATGTGTGACACATAGCATGGACAACTGCATGGTCCTCCTGTGAAGGAGAGATTGTTGTGTGGCCAACCAACCAACAGCAGCCACTGGAAGATGTGTTTGGGAGTGAGTGCTGGCGATCATATAGGGATATATCTGGCAACCACTTGCCAAGGTGACAGGTGGCTGTTTTATGGTCACAACAAGGTTCATTTGGGCTATCAAACCAGATAAAAGGAAGGAATCATTTACAAGTGAGGTTCCCATTTCTGTCTTTCCTATGCCCACTCACTTTGGCTTGGTTGTCCTCAGGGGCAGCTCTAGCTTTTTGGACCCTCCAAGCACGGCAGGCAGGCCGCCTTCGGTGGCATGCCTACAGGAGGTCCCTGGTCCCGCGGATTTGGCGTACCCGCCGCCGCGTTGCCGCCGAAGCCGCGGGACCGGCGGACCTCCTGCAGGCATGCCGCCGAAGGCTGCCTGACTGCTGCCCTCACAGGGACCAGCAGGGCACCCCCCACGGCTTGCCGCCCCAGGCACGCGCTTGGAGCGCTGGTGCCTGGAGCCGCCGTTGGTTGTCCATAGGCAGGATTGTGGAAAGGAAAATGTTATTGATCTGTTTTATTTCCTTTAGCTGTTAGGCGTTTTATTTTTGTTTCTGTGCTGCATTGGGTATGCTGCTTTGGTTTTGAACACTTATTATATGTGGCACCTTAGAGACTAACAAATTTATTAGAGCATAAGCTTTCGTGGACTACAGCCCACTTCTTCGGATGCATACGAAGAAGTGGGCT